CTGCATGACATCCCTGAATTGCGTAACTGATTTTTACAATAGTTAAAAAAGCAAGACAGGACAGGTACACAGAAAAACACACTATATACAAATATGTACAAACACCATTCACTCTGCTATATGCATGCAAATAGCAGGCATAGGTTTTCAGATACATGTATCAGCCATTGTCACTGGCATTGAACAGTCTTACTGCGCAGTGAATGAAGGACTGTTTCAGGCGCAGGGTCCTCGCTTTGGGCAGAGTGAACGTGTTGCTGTTCCTAAGCTGTCTCCCTGTAGCCGGATGTGGGAACTTTACAGCCCAGATTTTACCACCGTGCGAAGTATCGGCAATTCAAGTTTGAACAGCTGCCCATCCGATGGTCCATTTACTGTGGAAAAAAATAGGTTCAAACTTACCAAACAAGTTACTTCTTTAACTTTCTTTCTGTATTTTTAAACCTACTTCAAACTTACGGGTCTTATCAAACAAGTTGCTTCATCTTTACCTGTCTTCTATATTTTTTAGCCTACAGTTACTTTCGAACTATCTTAATAGATTGAAACAAACAACTAATGAAATCTATGACAGGCGCAGTTTTATTTATCATTATTATTATTATTATCATAAAAAGCTACATGTGTGCCTAGAATCAAACATTCTAAATGCATTGTAATATGATTGATCTTTCACTTTTTGGTCGATGGTGATGTCTTCATTATTTCGCTTTTTCATTATTTATAACAAGTTCTTTTCTCTATGCCAATATTTTCTTTTACAATCCAACATGTAACAACAAGACAGGGTGACGGCACACTCAAGTTTTTCTAAACTTATATTAATGCCGCCACCAACACATGGGACAGTACACTACTCATTTTCACCTGAGCGAAGTGAGGAAAGTCGTGTAAAGTGCCTTTCCCAGGGGCACAAGATCGGTGACATGTCAGTACTCGAACACGGGACCTCTTGATTCCGAGTCGAGCACTCTGCCGCTACCTCACACGACCCCACGTTGCCAATGCCAATATTGTCATCGAAGCAGCAAAAATATGAAGGAGACGTTTAAAAATCTTACCTGTGGGGCCGTGTGGCGTAGCGGCAGCGTTCTCGACTCGGAACCAGAGGCCCCGGGTTCGAGTCCTGACATGCCACCGATCTTGTGCCCTTGGGAAAGGCACTTTGCACGACTTTCCTCACTTCGCTCAGGTAAAAATGAGTATTGTATTGTCCCCTGTGTTGGTGGCGGCATTAATATAAGTTGAAAAAACTTGAGTGTGCCGTTACAACGTTTTGTGATTACATGTTTCGGAATATTAAAAAAAAATCTTACCTCCAATGGGCTGGAGTTCGACGGGTTTCGCGCTTTGTGGAAGCAGGGTGATGGTGTGATCGGCGGAGCCTTGCCATTTGATCACGAAGTCCCGCGAATGTTTCCCCGATTTGATCAGGAACACTCGTGGGTCGGCAGCTGTCGTGATGCCCACGGCACTTTCCGGATGAAAGCCATCTTTCTGTCAGAATAGAGACAAACATTTTAGTGGCCCTGTTCTAGTTACCTCCATGAAATATGGAAGTATTGTTTTTGGCATGTCTGTGTATCTGTCTGTCTGTGTGTGTGTGTGTTTGTGTGTGTGTCTGTCGGTCTGTGTGCTTGTGTTTCCGCACATTTGTAGCCAGCATAATCCTCTAATTCCAGTGTTTTACATCATGGGACTTTGATACATGTCATATTCATAATCTATGGCAGGACGAATATCACCAGATACCAATAATTTAACTACAGAATTTTCATAATTAATCTGAAAATTCTCCTCCTCCTTAGTGGTAAATGATAGGAATTTCATACTTGGGACATGTGTAAGTTAATCAAAATCACCGTGCATTTATTATGTTAATGTAGAGGTCATTTGCATAATTAAAGAAGAAATTTACAATTACGTGTCAAGCCCATTTTCATGGGGTATGAGATCTCGGAACTCTTGTTAGCTGATGCGTTCTTGCAAGGCAATTGCAACCTACTTATGATTATGAGTTCCTTTCTCACATGTCTCTATATCTATATAAACTCTCCATATTCAAGGCCAAATGCAAACACCACCTCTTATCCTGATTACCCAAACACCAATTGTAAATAAAAATCCTCCAACCGTTCCATTTCAACTTTGATCATTTTATCGATTTGTATTGTACTTATATTGTATTGCTTCTGTATTGATTGAATTTGTATGTACTTTCCATGTATATTGCTATTGTATAATATTGAATTGAATTTGTACGTACTAAGTAATATTGTATTTTGATATGCCTTGTATTCTTGTATTTATGCACTTATGTGTCAGTGGTAGCCGCTACCAGCCTTGTTGATGCCTGGTTGCCACTTGTTATGCACTATTGCATTTAAATAAATAATCAAACAAACGAACAAACTCACCTTCAGCCGCAGTTCACCATTTTCGTTGCGATACAAGTACTTTTCAGACTGTATAAACTGCAGTACAACGTAAGTGCCATCGGCAGGCGGTGTACCTGTGTAGCTGTAGACTAGTAAAGTCGCTGAAAGGAGACGTAAATTACAACAGCAAAATTAGTTCAACGTTGTACAATATTCCGGCAGCTGACATTGATCGATAAGTGTAAAGTAAGCATATCTATGCTGTATGAATGAAAAGTGGAAAAGTGCATAGTTATTAATTGAACTGAAATACCTTTATTGTACATTCATGCCACGACGGGCTAGGTACAGGTCAAGATATAACAGACACATAGCAAACGTATATAGAAAAGTGGAGACAAAAGATGCACTACTTGACTTAGACCAAGGACATTACATACTGTATAATGTCCTTGCTTAGACATACATACATAAGGAACATACAAGGGTACTATACTAGGCTAATACAAAGTGTTCTAGTCACTGTACTAATACAGAGTGGTCAACTTCTTCTCGCTTTTTTGTACCGTGGAAAATGTGGGAACAGATCATGTTTGTTCTACCCCAACATCTGCTTGGAGATTAGTAGTTGGGAGGGGGGTTTGTTCTACCCCAAGATTAGTAGTTGGGGAGGGGGGTGGGCGATGTTCATTACAAAGTTGTGACTGTCCCTTACCTGTCAGCAGTCGCCAGACTCGCTCTTCGAATAAACTGAACTTACAGCGTTGTAAAACAGATCGATACAGGAACAGTGCCATCCCCCATATGACACGTTTGATAAACAATTCATAGTCCTTGATAACATTATTGCTCCACTCTTCGTTACAAATTCTTGTGTCGATTTTAGCCATTTGCCTGTCAATCTTAGAATGACTTTTAATGTCCTACAATGTTATTGTCGATTTTAGCCATTTGCCTGTCAATTTTTAGAGTGATTTTAACGTGTTCTCAAATTTTATCTATGATATCGCTGACTAAAATAATTTATGTATATATGATAAATAAGTTGACCGTTTACATTTTAGTATGTATTTGAACCAATAGGGGCTGCACGAGCTAGCTCCATGGAGGAGCTCTGCAGAGCTCCTCCATGGAGGTTGCTCGTTCAGCCCTCAGCTCGCTCTGCAGAGCTCCTCCATGGAGGTTGCTCGTACAGCCCTCCGCGATACCCCCGCAGAGCTCTGCGCCAAAACAAGCCAATTCGTTGGTTGGCGTCACGGGTTCAGTTTTCTATAGAGTTCTGTAGATATCAAGTTAATTCAATGTGAGTAGTAGGCGATATACAACCAGTACTGTGTCACAAATAAAGACTTCGTCACGCAACTCTGCGCAACACGGAGAGCTCTGCGCCCTAACAAGTCAATTCGTTGGTTGGCGTCACGGGTTCAGTTTTCTATAGAGCTCTGTGAGTAGTAGGCGATATACAGCCAGTACTATGTCACAAATAAAGACTTCGTCACGCAACTCTGCGCAACACGGAGAGCTCTGCGCCCTAACAAGTCAATTCGTTGGTTGGCGTCACGGGTTCAGTTTTCTATAGAGCTCTGTGAGTAGTAGGCGATATACAGCCAGTACTGTGTCACAAATAAAGACTTCGTCACGCAACTCTGCGCAACACGGAGAGCTCTGCGCCCTAACAAGTCAATTCGTTGGTTGGCGTCACGGGTTCAGTTTTCTATAGAGCTCCTTAGATATCAAGTCAATTCAATGTGAGTAGTAGGCGATATACAGCCAGTACTGTGTCACAAACAAGTAGTATGATGATATGACTTTGTTTGTAAACAAGCCTGACAATTCGGCCTTCGGGCTGCAACTGGGCTGTACTTTTTCAGTGAATTGAAATAAACCGTTCTACTACCTTTGATGAATTTTTGCTGCGGCAGATGCTTAACCCGAATCACCTTCCCTGTGCCTCGTCCATTTCGTGATTTCTCTATGAAGAAGCCATAGTACTCTGTATACGGGTTCTTTATGAATCGCGGTTCCACAGTGGAAAGTTTGATGGTCTGAAAAAAAAAAGGTTATATAGTCAGTACTCAAACGATCCATGATAAAGGCTATAAACACAAACACGCACACTAACACAAATACACGCACACACACTCAGACACACACACACACACACACACACACACACACACACACACACACACACACACACACACACACACACACAAACACATACGTACAACACAAACACACACAAATACACAAACACACACACACACACACACACATACACACACAGACACATTAACACACACACAGACACATACACACACACACACACACACACACACACACACACACACACACACACACACACACACACATACACACACACAGACACACACACACTCACACACACAAACACACACACACATAAGTACAACACAAACACACACACGCACACACACACACACACATACACACACAGACACACATACACACACAGACACACACACACAGAC